CCCAGCCGTAAGAAAAGTCAGGAGGCTGGGGGAATCCGAGGAGTGGCAGACATCTGGCGTTCGCGGTCTGGCCACAAATTCAGATTGCATCCGTCACCGAATGGAGTCAATTTGAGTCAATATTATGTCGAATATGTGCCTGCCAACATACGCTTAGTTCATGTCAGCCACTGCCGTGGCGCAATATCTTCAACCACAACCCCGAAAGCCTAAGTCACCTACGTCAACTTCAAACTAATTTCACTGCACAAGTACTGGAGCCCATGACTCACAGATCTTACGCCACAGGCTCCCTGAGGCCGTGGCAGATCTCCAGTCCCTGCCATAACAGCGGCTCGGCTTCCTCATAGCGGCCCCGATCCTGCCACTTGTTGCCCCAGTTGTGAGGGCCGGGGCATGGGTCAGAAAGGAACTGACACCTCCTGCCTTGCCAGGATCGGAACGTTGGGCTTCATTGTGCTTCACCGCTCTTCTCAAGACTTCACGCACTATTGCACCGTTCGGTCTGAAGCTCGGGAAAGGCCCGCCCGAGGCCTCCAGCAGCGAAGCCAAGCTGTTCATCGAAGTCAGCGTTTGCGGATGCTCTTCACCAAGTTTGGCCCCGCCTCGGGGTCTTATCTCGTGTCATGCGCACTGCATCGCTTCGAAGCCTGATTCAAAGCAGTCAAAGCATCAGAATCGTGAAGCCTTTAATCCTTGTCGATCTCGCTCCGGAGCCAATCACAATAGATGCTCTGGATTCCAACAAGTTAAACTCGAAGACTGGGCGGTAGAAGACCTGACCCCACCTGTTTCACGCAGCACGTGCAGCCTTTTGAAACCAGTCCGAAGAACTCGTTTCCGCCAAAAAAAGAGGCAGGTGTAGCCCGACAAGTCGCAGACATGTTCCGTTCTTGCCCCGGCTACCCAGTATACTGCTGCTTTACCTCCATCAACCCCAAGCCCAAAATCCTCTTTCGAAAACCGTGAGTCTGAATATGACACACACGTGCTAACTTCATCCTCCTTTATGAATTTACGTTAGTCGCTCCCGTGGCGGTGGCGCAAGATGAACTTCAACCACAGACTAAGTCACCCAGCTCAAACTTACTTCAGATTGGATGAACTGCACAACTGTTCTAACAAGTTCTAACGGAGCTCATGACCGGAAGAGCTCACGCCACAAGCCCTTACGGCAGCGGGGCTACCAAAACAACCCAACTCAACTTGAGCATGGGTATCTCCCCCGCACAACTCGAAAAGGGCCCCAAACCGTACGTCGCCGACCAGCCGCTTCTTCGCACAAAAGACATGTGGTTCATCGGAAGGCACCGAGGCTGACAAAGAAACGGACAGTGCAAAGGTGAACGCTCCTGCTGCGAAACGCGACGAAGCCTCTCGAAGGAGAGATGCTCAGGGACAAACCAAGGAGGCTGCTTTGGGAAGAACTGACTGAAGTACTGAAGCCAACACGGGCCATTCTGAGACACTTCATCCCAGATAGGACGTAACTAAACCATGGATTACTATGTAACCTAGTAGCCCAGTATTGGGTGCGCTGTGAATTGTGGCGATAACCTACAGGTAGTTCATCCCGATGCTCCTGACAAGTTTCAGCGAGCTTTGTACCAAACAATGTGCCGTGCCTCCCAACATTCATCCTCGAACCTTCGACCAATCCTGCAGGATTCGACCTGTTCTGCCGGTTCACTACATAGCTTGGCTATCAGTTGTTCATATGTGGTGTTCAGCTTGCGGGACTGACGGTTCCGGAACCGGGCCTCGATTTCCTGGCTGTCTCCTTCCCCCCGAAGGAACGATGACGCTCTTGCGCTCGGGCTGAGTGCTCATGGCGTCTTGGAGCAGCTGGAGTTTGCAAGGCCCGCGAAAACAAATCATGTGCCCAGCTCCGTAGGAGAAATACTTTTTGGGGCATCTTGGGGCCTGTGGCTCTGATGTGCGGAGAGCCGTCGGCACGGAAGTCGGGCTGAGGCTCCGGCGGCCTCGCAGGCACTCCTTGTACAGCTGCTCCGCTTCTTCGTGCAGGGCGCGGCCATGCAGCCTCGTCCCGACCTCGTGCATGCAGTCCAGCGTGATCTCCGCATCGTCGCCAAACTCTCGTCGGAGGTTGGCCAAGCGAAGGCGGAGCAGTCTCAGCAAGCCGTCCGCCGCGGCTCCAGCATGCTTCACCCTGCCCATATCGTCGGTCACCTGCAGAACCCAAACGTCGCGTCCAGGATCCACTTTGCGGCCGCGGTAGTCTTCTCCCAGGTTGATCCGGCGCTCCTCTCCCGTGTCTGGGTCAAGGACAATCTTCTGGGCGAGGTCAGGCCTAAAGCATGCTAAAGCTGCCAGTGACTATGAGTGGCTGGAGTGTAGCAGGAGGCTAGAGTGAATCGATTCTTGCGCCCTTTACCATTCGGACTACACCGGACGGGTTAACACGAGTATCTCTGCAAAACAGCTTGCAAAGGCAGCCTTCAAACAGAAAGCAACAACATGGCAAGAAGGACTGACTGCATGCCTCGGCACGCCTGCTTTTCAAAGATGTTGTACGCAAGCTCCGTGGACACCACAATCGGAATACAGAAGGCTGCGCGATGGCCTCCGGTGTTGCCTGCGCCCCATTCTTTCTCCACCCGCTGCGACTCCGTGTCCCCTGTCGCGCCTCAGTTTCATCGCAGATGTCACTGCCACAGCAGTGGCCAAAACAAGCAAGTCCGGCAAAAACTGGACGACCCGGGCCCGGACGCAAAGGGCTCAAATTGCTGTAGTTGTTGAGCAAAATGCGAGTGCGGGAGCCCCATACCTTGCTGCAGGCGATTTCACGGCAACTTGTCTGCCACCGTGTCTATGCTTGCCTACAGCACATGCGTGCAATACATCCGGCAACCGCAATCGACGATGCAGGCTGCCATGCAGCGCGAGGAAAGCAGGGGTATTACCGGGCATACGAAGCTGTCCAAGTGGTCCTATAAAGCTAGTTAGGCAATGTGGCGCGCTGAACAGTGTTGTGCCCAAGCGCAGCTGGTTCATGCTGAGTACAGTAGACGCCCTTCCCGAAGTGGGCCCTGGAGTCCACCAGCGATGCAAAAAGCTCGGCAGTGGTCTTTTCCATGTCGGCCACATTGTGGAAGGCCAGCTCGTTTGTATAATGATACAGCACACGAAGGTCCCGTCGACCAGGGCCTTCTTGGTCTTCAGGATCGCACAGTATTACTGCGTGTTGCCACACGCGCACCGGACCGTCCGGCGCTCTGTAGTCGAACGTCAGCAGCCCGTTGTCGTTGCCACTCGAGTACAGCGAGCCTTGGTAGACTTGGCCTTAGTGGCTGTCAGGCACTATCAGTTTCTCGCTGCGGACAGCTGCCATGGTTGAAACACCAAAAGGCGCACACTGTGGCGCTTCAAGCCTTCTATCAATCCCCTTTAGTCTAAGGCTCGCACCTCTTAGGTATGGGCCGCGGAAATACTTTGAAAGCTCGCCGCGGCCAAGGGCCTGCACTGTGCAGACCAGGCCGATGACGAAAGCAAACTGAAGCCGCAAAAGGCGCAAAGGATACCTCGCGAAACTCACCCCTTTTTGGCTGCCTTTTTGGCGAACGAGATTCGGGTGAAAAAAAAGTTCCCACATGTTGTGCAGTAGCCTGCCCACTCCACCTAGAAGGCCGAGAACCTTTCGGAGCGGCTCGAAGTTCAGAACCCCACGCAGGAAATCTCCTGACCTCACCCTTTTCGAACATTCAGTCATAGGGACAAACTCGACATCCAGCTTCGTTCTGCTTGCTACCGCCACGACTGGGCCTGGGCTCTTAAAGCAGCCTCGTCACCCCAAGGACATGCGTAAAGAATGCTCGCAAAGCGGCCTGCGAGGAACTGAAGCCCTCCATGTGCAACCTCTACGAATCCAAGCCCCTCCGGACGGTGCCTCGGCCACGGGGTCGGCCTGGCCGTGCCGTCCGAGGGTTCTACTTTAGGGTTCACATAAAGGGTTTAGGGTTTAAGGGTTTGGGGGTTTGGGGTTTAGGGCATGGGTTCTACTTCTTGAAGCTGTTGCGGAATTCGTGGCACGCGCATGGGCCATCTGGGGGGGGGCCAGAAAATCTGCTACACTTATGCTACACCCAGTGAGCAAACGGCACGACCCTGAGCTCGATAAGTCGATCGAAGCATTGTGCAGCACGGCAGTGAAGCCCTCATGTTGGAGCTGCAGAGACTTCATCGGACTCTATATGGGTGCCTATAGGTACAGTACCATGGCGATCGCAGTGCAGAGCTTGCGCAAGGTCTTCGGCAGCGTTTGCGGATGATTGTCTTCAAACCTAGATACAGACAAACTGTCTGAAGTCCATACCTGCGACTCCGAGATCTCCAAGCACAAAAAGCTTCAGCCACTTGCCCGGATCGCAGTGATCCGCTGTGTTCATGCGACACGAGCTTGAGATGTGACTGAAGCATTCCCGGTTCGATTTCACGACCCGTGAAATCTCATCACAACTTCTGTGCGGCCCGTAAAGCGCTTGGTCTGCGTATGCGCGGGCAGTTTGTCGGACGGAGGCCGATCAAGAAGCAACGTCAAACAACCCGCCGACCAAGCAGACGTAACAGCACAAGTCCAGCCCGCAATTCTGGCAACTTCTCGTTGACCTGTCTCGGAGATTATCCCTTCTGCAACTGCGACAACAGAAATTAATTAATTTAACAGAGCCTAAACCCCAAGACCGAAGTCCCCAAAAAGCCCGAAAGCTCCAATTCCCACCATGCCTCACTCGAAGCACCGGCACTGGCCTCGGGTGGGCAAAGGGAAATGGGACTAATTCATAGTGTTTCGTTGCAGAACTCTGGATCTTTTTCCGACCCCAGCCCACGTGCGCTTGTTTCTGTTGAAGTTTTCCTGTGTTGTCCTTTTGGCACACCAGGGTCTCGGCTTCAAATCCGCGACATCTTCAACAAACAACCCCAAGCTTCGCCACGGCATTGCGACTGGAAAACGCACTGCATGCAATTTGTTGGACTGCTGTTGGCCCTCTAGATCAAGATCAGCTTCATGCTGCCCAATCGCAGTCTACAATGCCTGCTACTGTTACGTGCAGCATGGCTAGGGATCGGACACCGCAACCCATGGTCAGGTCAGGGCACCTGAACACGAAGGAAGCCCCACCTCTTCGTCGTCTTCCCTTTTAGGGTTTAGTTTAGGGCTTAGGGTTTAGGGTTTAGGGCTCGTCCCTAAAGCTAGGCATCAGATGGAACCTTCTACAGATCCTGCTTTTTTCCCAGAACTTCTGGGCCCCCAGTCCGAGACCAGACCTCATTTTGCATCCCTGCAGCGAAGTTACGGCCTTCCTACAAGCCAATATAAAGGCGCAAACGAGTGCAAACACCAGAAGCACTGAACCTGGAAGCTTTAAACGTAGAGGTCTCAGCCTCTACTGATCCACTAAATCCAAGCTTTTTAAAGAACATGCTCTTTGAGCTTCTCGCAAACAAACAAACAAACAAGCAAGCAAGCAAGCAAGCAAGCTAACCAAACAAACAAACACAAACACACACTAACAGCATCCCGGACAGACAGATGGAGTCTTAGAGTCACCTGCATCGCAAGGAACCAAACCTGCATTTCAAAAACCTGAGACCCGAAGGCTAAAACCTGCAGAGGCCAACGCGGCTTTAAGCTCGGGCTTCCAGGCGCCTGAGGCACTTCGCATCTCCTTCGCCGATGGGCCTCTTGAGGCCCGGCTTGGCCGGGCAGAGAGGCCGTGAAGGACGAGGAGCATCGAGGGATCGCAAGCGGAGGGCTGCAACAGAAAACTGGATTTAGCCCGGGCTGTGCTATTTTACCCTGGGACGATGCCGGACTCGGCTCGAAAATCATTAGCACTCACATGGAACCGAAGGGTCAGTGTGGGATGTGGACCTGCGGCGGCAGTGCGGGATGTGTGTGGATATGCCCGTAGCTTGAGTGGTCGCGGCTGCGTGCACGGTCCCTTCTAGGTTCTCGGATCACGGACACAGCTCAGTGCTCCGGCCTCTAGCACGTTTGCTTAGACTTTGCTTGAACCGTCTTCGCGTCTTCGTACGGTCTTTGGATGCATTACAGGGCAGATCGGCTCCATCTCGAGCCTCACGGGGGACCCAGCCTCCCCGACCCTTTCACTGCTAGGGCCACATCCGACGTGTCTTCTCGGCTGTAAAGCTGCAATATGCCGGCCCCGAATGGAGTAGCAAAGAAGGCAGCTATGCTATGCCAAATTTGAACCCTGGCCTCGCACACTTGGCTTTTTTGCTGTGAGGCTTTGACGCACGGCTGTGAGGCCCCGCGGCCATCAGCGAGGCGTTCTCAAAGGCCTGAGAAACGAGGCCGTCACAGTCACAAGCCAGGCTTCGCAGTCCAGGAGTCGGAAATATCTCTTCGCAGGTTGCTGGAGGCTGCAGGCTTAGGCAGGGGCTATCGTTCCCGAGCGCCGGACCCCAGCGCAACTCCCACTTGAGCCCGTGGTGGCGCAGCCATGCGCCGCCTCGAGGCGAAAAGCGGAGGCTTCACCACATCCGGCTGTGGCTGCAAAGTTCTGGCAGCGAAGTCAGGCGTGGCATCGTGTGCAGAGCCATCTGCTTGTGAGACAATCTTGGCTTGGAAACTTGAGGCAGACTGACCGACTCAACGAAATCGGGAGGGTAGTTTCAATTTTGACACTAATTCATTTCCAGAGAATGAGATGTGGGAGGACTAGCAGGCGAAGACGCCCCGGCACCGCCCAAGCACAGTCGGACCAAGGGCCAGACTTTGGGAACTGCGTGAAGATCTGATTTGAGGAGTTATGAGGACCGAGGATGCATTTTTCTTTTTTTTTTTGGAGGGGGGGGGTTAGGGTGTAGGGTTGGAGGGTTAAGGATTTCTTTTGGGGTTTAGGGTTTATGGAGCAAGTCTTCCCTAAACGCTAAACACTAAACCCTAAGTAGAGTCTTTAAAGTTGAAAACAGCAAGACA